TACTTGTAGGTTCATTTAGATGTATTTCAGCCTGTTGATAAAACATTAGTGTTTTTAAGCAGAATACAGCTTTTTATGTTTTCACCCTGTCACTTTGCTGTCCACTTGACCTACTAATAACCAGGGATATAGCGATACTAGTATCGTTGCCGATACTTAGTATTTAGGCGAGTTCGAGTACTCGCCCAAATGCTCCTGATACTTATTCCGATACTGGAACTTCCTGATTTGCCAGCTTCCCGACCAATCGAGAAGCTGGGCAGCATGTAATGGCTCGCTGCCCTGCTTCCTGACTGGCCAGAAACACAGTTCCATGTTTCCTCGTCGCCTGGTGATGAGGGAGCATGGGTATGGCTTCACGGCTAATCAGGAAGCCAGGCGGCGAGTCATTCCACACCGCCGGGCTTTCCTAATGGGACTTCCAGTATCGCTAAAAAAAAAACGTCGCTCCTTGTACAAGATACCGAAAAACCTGTGTCGGAGCATCCCTGATAACCCACCTTGCCATAGTTTCCCTGACACTCCTTCCTCCTTGCAAGCAGGGGCAATATCTGGTGCTTCCAAGTAGGGGGATCATGTGACCTCCGATGTGACAGTACTTGGTTCTAGCGGCCAATGGCTATATCCGGGCACTATCATATGAATGAGGGCATGTTGTTAAAACTCACCCTAGCATCTGACACCAGCCAAGACTTGGAATTTTGATGCTGGCTGCCATTGAGGGACTGCTGGCAAGGTGACTATCGTTAGGTCATTGAGGTCCCTTGGCAAATACTTCTTTTTCTTAGTGGACAAGGTCCTTTCGCAAAGACATTGTCACTTTGTCCTGAATGGCAAAGTGACAGTGTCTCTTTAACAGAAAACATAAAATGCTGTATCTTGCTCAAAGCAGAACTCCAGGAATTTTTTTATTAACTCTTGCAGTGGGGCTACCCCCGCACCGCAAGGGTTAACTGCTCATTTATGTCTAGGTGCTTATTTTAGCACCTAGACACAAATGAGCAGTTAACCCTTGCGGTGAATATAACTTATTTACAAATGAGCAGTTAACCCTTTGGGTGAATATAACTTATTTAAGTTATATTCACCCAAAGTTCCAAGCCGGCCAGCTGTCACTGCGCTCCCTCCAGCCTGTCCCCTCCTCCTCTGCAAATTGGAATGTTCTTCAGCATCCTGACATCTATGCACAGTGTATACACGTGATAATTTACTAGACCTTGGATCGCTGCAGAGGAGAGGGAGAGATATTTCAAGAACCGGTCTAAGAAGAAGCTGCTCAGAGCTTTGTGAGTATATCTTAGTTTTTTTTAACCTAGACTCAAAAGAGCAGTTAACCTTGCCGTGCAGGGGTAGCTCCAGTGAAAGGGTTAATAAAAAACCATTCCTGCTGTAACTGATATTTTAATTATTAACTGGCTTGGTCTGAATATATATACAGTGGGGTTTTTTTTTTAAAGCACAGCAGTGTCTTTTGCCTTGTTTCCCAAATGTATTCGCAAAAAATAATCACTGATCTGCAGGTTATCTCTCATATCCTATCGAAAAGTTGGAATTGCTAGTCTGATTCAAATGTACATTTTTAGAATGACTCATTCTTTGTTGCCTGTTTCAGCAACAAGGTTCATATAAAATAAATATGACATATCTCAGCATAATGTATCATGACACGCATATTCTACTGAATAGCCAATGAGTAGCTAGATCAACGAGAAATGAGTTTAAATCGACTTTGGCATGTAAAAGTGAACCTGTGGCAGCTTCAGTAAATGTTTCATGTTTGAATCTCCCACACATCATTTTTCAACCGTTCCGAGGAGTAGAGGAGGACAACTGAACCTAAAGCTTTTTATTTTTTTAGAAAGGAAAAATGATTACATTTGCTTTTGAAACACATTAAGTTAAAAGAGAGGTACTTTTTCTATTGCATGCCTGGAGCTCTTCCCCATTTAGGACATCTGAGTTGATGCTTAAAAAACTAGGGAACAGAAACTGTTGAGGGAATATTTTTGCAGCCAAATGCAACCACAAGTCTGCTTACTGGGAATATTTTAATACAATCTGTCTGACCCGTGGGGAATTACACAATTCCGTCACGCATGTGATTCTTTAAAGTTGAACAAAAGTAAAAACTTTTTTTCCATTTTGGATATGGTAAGAAAGTGTTACAACTAGGGATGCACTGATATATGGGCCGAAAATGGCACTTTTGGCAAAATGCTGGAGTGCCATTTTTTGGCCGATATATAGTGGTGCATCCCTGGTTTCTCTCCTCTCCGCTGGGCGCTGCTCTGTGTCCCAGCGGGGAGGAGGGAAACTGTCACAGGAGTCCGAGCGCTGTGGGAGGAGAGCGATGTGAGCGGCCGACATCTCTCCTCCCTGCACCGTTTAGCCTCCTGTCGCAGATCGGGAGAGCGGCGGTGTGGGCGCAGAAAGCTCACGCTGTCACAGGAGGCTGAGCTCTCCTCAAGCACCACCCTGCCCAGGAGACGGAAGCGCCACTACCTGGCCCAATAAATGTGGTAGAGCAGGGTGTAAGCGTTGGTGATGTACTCACCTGAGGCTGGGTGAGCATTCGCTTGTACTCATCGGAAAAAGAAGGTTTCACCTTCGAAACGCGTCTCCGTCAGCCCGGTCTTCACTGATCCTCTGAGTGTCTCCTACACTCCACCCGTCTACAGACACCGCCCCGCGCCGCAACACCCGCACTACAGGATTCCCCAGCAAACGCCTGCAGGTCACAGCTCCGTCGGACTGTCAGAAAGCCACGGCGGCTGAACACACTGTCATTCCGGCGCCTCCATCGCTCTCCAGTCCCCCCATCCAGGACACCACGTCGCTCCACCTCTTCACAGCACCTGCCATCAGAGGACACCTGTCCCAGCAACCGTCCTGAGGACCATCCCATGGCCCACCGCCCAGGCACGTCTTTGGCCGCACCGTCATCGCTGAGAGTCGCCCTTCAATATCACCACGGTGAGTTACAGAAGCTCTCGGCAATCAGTGATCGCTGAGTGTTTGTAAATAATTGGGGACAGAGTATGTTTACTGTGTCCTCCAATTATGAATGAGTGGGAAGTGATCTACATCACCTCCTGTTCATTCACAATTGTAGTTATAGTAAACACTCTATGTCCTCATGTTATGAATGAACAGGAACACTCAGTATAGAGGATTCCTGTTCATTTATAACGGGACTGGTTTCGGGGTAGGTCTTATATTACAGAAATCCCCAAAGATAGCACTAGGTCTTATTTTCGGGGTAGGTCTTACTTTCGGGGAAACACGGTAGTAATTACAAGTCGGTAGGTTTGCTTTACTAAAGGAGTAAAGCTTCAATACTTTGCAACAAGTATCACATTTTGGCCGATCCAGCAGGTATTGGGGGAAATTAGATCAGTGAGTGGACCTTTCCTATCCCAACAAAAGTTTTTAATTGGATCGAATTTTGTCAAAGGGACATGACAGAAAATCTTTGGTCTTACAGTACTTGCATACAGTCAGCTGCAGTCACTGTTCTGGTATTCCCTATACCAATACAATGTGCACAGTGGGAGATTTGTTCATCCTTGCTGCTACGGTAGATCTGCCATCTTTTTTCAATCAGCCTGCAAGGCTGAATTAGGAAAATATGTCAATGTATACCCAGCTTTAGTAAAGGGGGTGAAGCTGTGCTGACTTCAGGTATCCGATCGTGTGCAAGCAGATTTTCTTTTTTTTTTTTTTTTAAGTAATTATTCTGCCCAATAATTGGATATTTTCAAAATGTTAGCTTTGATTCACCTTATTTACTAAGATAAGTAAGATAGGCCTGCATGTTAGGTCTTCCATTTAGGCAGCCCCACAACCAAGTGAAGGAACTCGCATGGCAGGCTGACAATGCTGCTGCTAACTGCGAGGCAGTGGCTCAGAGTTGTCAGCCTACAACAGGAAGTTCTGTTACTAGCAGCATTTCCAGGTAAGAAACTTTGCAACCGGTTCAAGAAAACCTTTTACAGTAAGGTATGATACCTAACATAGGATTTGCTGTTTACACTTTAAGTACATAAGAAGCATGTCCCTTTTATTTGGTATCTGGGGACCTCGCGAGTATAGTTTGCAGGGTCAATGTCCATTTGCACCATATTTCATCATATTTTGCTGGGTGTTCTCTGGCGTCATGCATTAGCTTGTACATAGAGTTGTATTAACTTAACCACAGGCTCCAACCCTGTCAAAATTCATCTTCCAGCATAGTAGTATAACATCCTCAGAAAGTGTGCCTGATAATTTTATTAGTGTTAATTGTGCTGCCATATGCAGTAATATCACAAGGTCATCAAGGACTTGTATAAGGCAAGTGTCCCCATATGCAGTAATATCACAGGGTCATCAAGGACTTGTATAAGGCAAGTGTCCCCATATGCAGTAATTTCACAAGGCCATCATTGACTTGTATAAGGCAAGTGTCCCCATATGCAGTAATTTCACAAGGCCATCAAGGACTTGTATAAGGCAAGTGTCCCCATATGCACTAATATCACAAGGTAATCAAGGACGTGTATAAGGCAAGTGTCCCCAGAGAGGAAAAAGCATTATTTCAAACTCCATGCTGTTATTAAGCCAAGTACAAAGTTTACGCCCAAGTTCTTTTGATGTTTTGGCAAAATATGAAACTGTAAATTCAAGTTCACACTCTAGCTTTTTATCTTTCAGTATCTCTAGTGAGGATACAATAGTGTTCTGTCTACCCCCCTCCCCTTTCCTCCCAGCATTTTTCTGAGAGCCTGGTAAAGTAACTGTTCCCAAAGCAAACCTTCCTCTCCTGAGAATTTTTTCTTTTTGTGAGATTTGAAAGTTTTGTGCCACTGCCGTCATGTCCTCTGGGGATAAATAACTGATTTGGCTAGGGTACTGCAATTGCTGCTACAGATTATATTGGTATATTGACAGTGGCTCTGCCCTTAAATTGTTGGTGTTTATATTACGAAGTTCAATTTACATGTCATTAATTCTGCTCATAGGTCCTAGATGAGATTGCAGAACATGGAATTCGAATCTATCAACTTCCTGATGCTGACTCAGATGAAGATGAGGAGTTTAAAGAGCAGACTCGTGTTCTGAAGGTAATATATATGCAAAAGCCAGAATCTGATCCCTAAAAAAGAGCAAAGAACAGTGAATTAGTCATATCGGTCAAGAAAGTTTCATATTCGTAATTGGACAACTAATCTGGTTTCTTTCGACAGCTCCATATCGCTTTAGGCTTTCATATATCCGAATTCAAAAAGTTAGTTTTCGGGGTACTACTAAGATAGTGATTTGTGCCCACTTCTTTCTCTTGTTCCCGTTATCATCATCATCGTAGGAATAGCATACCAATTGAAAAATATACTGCATCATCAAGACGGGGTCCTGAGGCTGCTACAGTGCTCTACACTATTTTGTTGACCTCTTATGCTTTTTAAGAAAATACAATTCTTGGATTTTTAATAGATCCCAATAAAAGCATTTTTGAAATCCACTTCAATTTTGAAATTTCAAATTTTTACAGAGTTGTTTGTTAGATTTCTAAATGGGTTTAGAGAGTACAAATAATCACTCGGTATTCAACAGTTATAATCCTTTCTTTATGTTAAATAACAGAAATAAACACTGGTCATAGGCTAGTGTATTTAGCTTAATTGGAGTTCTGAAGATTTGTTAGCAGTGCAGAATAACCTCATATCCACAGTGCCCTGCCCCCATCGCCTTGTTAATCTCTAATCGGTGGGATCACTACTGGGGAGATGGGGGTGGGAAAGGATTATTTTGATTTTGCTTTCTTTGTGTGGTACTTTATGGTCTGAAACCTAAGCTGTATACCTGGTTTAAATTTCTATAAGAAAGCCAGGCTGTCGACAAACTTGTGAGCGTAATCATTTTCCATGCTTGATCTGTCCTCCTTACAAAGAGCTCCCCCATTCTTGAAAGATTGGCTCTTCTGTCATTAAGTTTGCCAGTGGAGAGGGGAACTGAAGTAAGCCACAAGCAAAGCTATGTGACATTTATCAAGGGGAATTAGCATTTCCTTAAAAATGCAGTTCCACTTTTGCCTCCAAGTTATTATTTTTTATTTTTTTAAGCAAGTAATTTTTATTAAAGAATTTTCAATAATATAAGCATACAAAGCAGGCTTAATCGCAGAGTTACAACAGTGTCAGCGACTAGAAGTCCTGTGGGACATGGGTAATTAAGAATACATTACAATATGTAACCGAGAACACAAAAAATCCAACAGACAATAAACAATAAAATATAACACAGACATAGCGCATGTATTACACTAATGCATTGGTGGAACCAGTGCACATCCATCCAGTTTGCCTACCCCCTAGGCGTAATAGGGGGCTGACTTCATGCCTAGTCCAAGTTATTTTAACTGTGTCTGTACAGTACCTGCAAATTTAATTATCAGTTGTAAGCTGGATTTGAACACTGTCCCAGGAAAGGGTTAAAGACTTAGGCTTGCCATATACATTACAATCTTACCATACAATCTCTGTACAATCAACTTTGGATCTACCATAACTATCCAGTCAATTTGTATCCAATAAGGCAGGCCCTTGCACGACCTACCTGTTGGTAGATCTAAAGAACATTGTAGAGTTGCTTCGAAATTTTGGGCACCGAAACATTTCAGCCAAAAGTGGTACTATGGGCAAAAATGCAGTGCATCCCTAGCTTCTCTCCTCCCCACTGGGTGCCGGTCTGTGTTCTTTCTGATCCCCACTGCTCTCCCACGCCTGTGTCGGCAGTGGCAGCGTGAATTGGAGGGGCGCCCAGCGGGGAGGAGGGAAGCTGTCAGGATGCCGAGTGGAGCGGTGCAGGGGAGAAGACAGCTGCCAGCTATCACAAGAGGCCGAGCTCTTCTCCTGCACGGCCCCGCTCGGCCTCCTGTGACAGGTGAGTCAGGATGGAGAGTGGGTTACTAGCACTCAGCAACCAGAACGGATTGCTGAGTGTTTGAAAATAACTGAGGACATAGTGCTCTACATCACTTCCTGTTCATTCACGATTGTGAACATAGTAACTGATACTATCGCCACAGTTTATGAATGGACAAGAACACTCAGTATAGAGGCTTCCTGTTCATTCATAACAGGGGCTGCAGAAAAATAAAGAGTTTTAAGACTGTTTAGAAAAGCCTCTAACAGTAAAGTAAATAATTTTAAAAATTATAAAAAGATTGGAAAAAAGTAATTTTTCGGTAAATATAATGAAGTTTGTAATGTATATGCCATGCTTTACAAAGGCCTGGATTTCCCTTTAAAGAATGGCACTAAAAGAGACTCTATGTGGCAAACAGACAAGCAAGTTCCAACCAGTGATCTGTGCTATTTTTCTCTGTTTTTAATATGTCATACAGTGATCAGGAAATGTTTATTTCAGGCCAGCATCCCTTTTGCAGTTATTGGCTCAAATCAGCTTATTGAGGTGAAAGGGAAGAAAATCCGTGGACGGTTGTACCCTTGGGGTGTCGTGGAAGTGGAGAATCCGGAACACAACGACTTCTTGAAACTTCGTACCATGCTGGTGTAAGTATTGTATGCAGTTTACTTGTGGATAGCTTGCTAAGGCACACCCCAACTTTTGGATAATGATGCCCAAGAAATCAATGGTTGTTGTAACAGATTCCCAGGTACATTTGTATTCTGCAAATGTACATGATCTGGGAATTTGATGTTCGATACATCTCTTAATTAACGCTAGACTAGACACATTTGCTGTCATGATAAACTTTGCTGTTGTGATGAACTTGATAAGGTCAACCATGGCTGATAGACTCATGTGATGCTCAATATTCCTAATGAGTGTCATTAGTCATTGCTGTACAGGCAGTGCCCGGGTTACGGACGTCCGACTTACGGATGATCCGTACTTACGAACCGGGGTCCACAGTTCTCCTAAATGTAGTGGCAGCTGCCGGTACATTTAGGAGAACTGTGGCTGCAGCGGCCTGTGTCCCTTCAAACCCCCACTGCTCTCTGCGCCTGTTTTTGGAGGCAGCGGGGCCACAGACCGCTGCATTCCTAACTGCCCCCATACCTCCGCTGATGTCCCGGTGTCCTCTTCCGCCGATCCGTCGCTCTTCTGGTCCGGCCGCGACTCCTCTGCCCATCCCCCCTGCCTCCTCTTCATTGCAGGCTGGGAGCCATACCCAGCCTTCTATTGGATATTGTAAAATGGAATAGCCAATAGGAAGCTGGCTATTGCATCCGCCTGCTGTCAATCAGCATGGGAGGACCTGATAGAGAACTTTCTCCTTCAGGCCCCTCCTCTGCTGATTGGCAGATGCAATAGCCAGTCTGCCATTGGCTATTGCAATTTGAAATATCCAATAGCAGGCTGGCTGTTGCTACCAGCATTAAAATAAAAAATTAAATTAAAAAGACAAAAAAATGTTTTAAAAATTAAAAATGCAAACAAAAAATAAAGTATATAAAATGAAATTAAAAATAAAAAAAACATTTTTGGTGTCATTTTAAATAATTTTTTATTTTTTTAAATTATATTATAATCTTCTGAACAACAGGAACAGACGGCAAAACAAACGTGACCCTTCCCTATGCTATCCAAAACGAAAACAAAATTTTTTTGCTGGAGTTACACTTAAAAAATGTACCTGTTCCCGACTTGCATACAAATTCAACTTAAGTACAAACCTGAAGTCCCTATCTTGTATGTAACCCGGGACTGCCTGTACTTGGTCTCTTTAGTAAAACGTGCAAAACATTTGGTACATGGGCTCTTAAGTCAGATACTGGTGAGTTAAAGCACAGTGTAGTAATGACCTTTGTTATAAAGTCATTTGTCTTCAGGTCTTTTTTTTTTTTAATAATCCGCTGTTAATAAATATTAAAGGAGTGTGTGACCCTGTGGCAGAAAAACTAATGAATTCCTGTCTATGGTAAATTTAGATTATATACACCTCACAGTGTAACAGTATGCTTTTGTGTGACCTTCATCCGCACTTTTTTCTACCTTCCAAGACTGCTTAAGTATCAGGGATGGAGATAAAAGTGGTCAGTGGCAAAGTATTTGAGATTAATGAAAGCAGAGCTGTTACAAGCCTTACGTGAACTCATTCAGCTCTGATAACCTATGTTCATCTTGGCAGCCTTTCTGCTGACATATTTTATGTAAAAGAAACATAGTGTGTTATCGTGGCTGAGATTATCATAGCAGACACAGCTTGACGTTCAGTTTCCTTTAGTGATGGGTCATTTTGAATCCTTCCTTGGAATGATAAAAGAAGGGCGAAGCAAGCAAGAAGGTTTGAAATGTTAATATTTAAAAATATGAATTATCTGAAGAATTGTACATTAGTACATTGTACAAAGCATTTTTTAAGTAGATAGTATACATGACTGAAGCAGAGAAAGGGTAGCGTGGAGAAATATATTTGGCTCTACCAGAAATCTCTGGTGTCATTTTATGTAGATGAAAACAATAGAGACTATGCTAGATGTTTTTTACATGTCCAACCCAAACCCCAGCGTCAGTCTGTCCGTATCCATACATGAGTTTGTCTTCCAATCTCTGCAGATTGGGAGGTGATCATCTGCTCGATAGACAACTTTACTAAATTGGAATTTCTAGTGACATTGTCAGCATAAGGTCACTTGTATGTAAAACATTCCTGCAAAAAGAAGACAGCATGTTCTTACTTTTCTCTTGAAAACCTGCTGATTTACTGCTTACCGTCCTCTGCACATATTGAAATGGTCAGCTGAGTGGATACCCGTTTCCTCCACTCCTTGCTGCATTTTAGTATGTTGTTGAGGACCATTCTGATCATTATATTCTTTTTTTAAGCTTCTGGGGAAAAAAAAAAAAACATTTCTTGATAGTACATCACAGGACAAAGGGAGTTAATTTTTGAACAGATGGCATTATGTAGCTTCAGGTGCTTTTGTGCTGGCAAATCAAAGCGATTAGGACAGCACTGTATAACCCATCTTGCTCTCAGCCTTCCTCAGTTTTTCACTAGTGTCCTTAGATGATAGACACCTTCTCTCTGCTCTGAAAGAAGTATGTCCTTTTTTTTCTGAACATTTCTAATCAAGGCTCTTCTAGCAAATGTCCCTATGCTGCTTACAGCCACTGCAACGCCTAACAGCAGATATCCAAATCTGTTTTCTCCTCGCCAGTGTTTTGGTGGACTATATCTGGACCCTGTTGGAATGAAGATGCAGGCCCGGCCTAGTAACATGCTTAGGGACACTGTATCCTCTGTGGGGTGCTCACCTTGGCAGTTTGTGCAGCATGTATAGTTGGTCCATTAAGGTGGAGCCCTGTCCCTGAAAACCCCCTTCAGAGGGTATTCCGACCTCTAAGTAACTCAGGGCCTAGTCCTTGGTTAGGTACCCAGGTTACAGCCCCTTTCCCTGTATAAGTCGGCTTGGGGAGGAATTGCTGCCTCTGCTTTTTTTAAATTGGTGCCCTTCTCAGGGTCCATAGGCAGCCTATGAAGCCGTATATCACCTGTGCAGCCTCCTTGTAGGTTTTCTCCACTACACATGCTTTCGCCATTTTCCTTCTGGCACATGCTGAGCTGGCCACACAATGCTACCACTGCTTCTTCAACTCTGCACAAGGACCAGAAAGTCTAGATCTCTGCTAACCATTGCACTGGGTCACTGCTCCTGCCTTCAGTGCTGAGACAATAGGCACCCTCCACCTCCACAGTAGTCAGTACTGGGCTGCACTTCCAGGCTATGGTAGACACAAGGAGATATGGCGACAGTCTCCGTAACCTCACAGTCTGACAGTGGTTCCGAGTTGGGTTCGATCTCCTCTAGGAACACTGTTTTTGCTAGCCCTATGCTTTGCTCCCTCTCCTCTACACTTCCCACCTCATGGTCCTCTTCAAGGCTGCTTCTAGTTCTGCTGAAGGTTCCCAGAGAGAACCTATCTCCTGACATCTGTTTGTAGTTTGAGCCACCTGCCTTGCCCTGGCCAAAAGTCACTAGTTTAGGTTCTTTAAAGAAATGCCCAAACCTGCCAAAACTTTCTTTTTACACACTTTCACAGCCAGTGTTATGTGGTGACTGGGATCACCCTGAAAGATTGTTTGCTAAGCAATAACCTATTGAAGAGTGTTTCCTTAAAAAAAATGGGCTGTCCCTTTCGCAGACCCAGCTGTTTTTTGTTTAAAGAACACATTAACAGACTCTGCAAAGGATGGCCAAGAGGTTAGGAGCCCTCTTTAAGCCTTTGTTTGCCCTTGCAGGCCCTGCTATCCAACCAGCTGTTGCCACCATGGCAATGTGTCAGACCTTATATGTGTGGTTGAATGCTATTGCTATGGACCCTGCTGCTCTAAAACTGCAAGAGCGCTTTCCTAGGTGGCAGTCTAACTGGAAGACTTTGCGTGCCTTAGTAGACTTTAAGAAAATAATTTTAAAGTGAGTAATAGGGATGCACTGATACCGAGTATTTGGGCGACTACTCACCCAAATGCTCCCGATAACGGAATCTCTGGTATCAGGAAGCCGGGGCGGCAAATCATTACATGCCGCCTGGCTTGCTGATTGGCTGAGCAACCAGCTCCATGCTCCCTCGTCACCAGGGAGCATGGAGCTGGCTTCCCGGCCAATCAGGAAGCTGGGCGGTGGGAAGCTGGCCAATCAGGAAGCCGAGCGGCGAGTCATTACCTACCCTCTGGCTTCCTGATTGACCAGAAAGCCAACTCTATGCTTCCTCGTCAACTGGTTTTGAGGGAGCATGGAGCCGTCTTCCCTGCCAATCAGGAAGCTGGGCAGCGTGTAATGATTTGCCGCCCTGCTTCCTGATTAGTCGGGAAGCTGGCCAATCAGGAAGCACCTGGTGACGAGGAAGCATGGAGCCGGTGGGCATTGCACACCTCCCAGCTTCCTTAATGGGACTTCTGGTATCAGTATTCGTTATCAGCAATTACTGAAAAAAAGAAATATCGGTACTCGAAAAATCGGTATCTGTGCATTCCTAGAAATCCTGTATTTCTACAAACATGACTGTCGTCGGCTACATCCCCCGTTCTAAACCTTAACACTTAATCCCTTATTACAGTCACCATAATCCTAATGCCACTAGGTTTGGCACGAACATAAAATACATATATAATTGATGCCAAAATGTCAGGACCTATTTATCTGTACTTTTGCCCACATGTACATGAAAACTATACAGGTAAAGGATAATAGGCTCAATTTACCGAGCTATAGCTCATGTAGCATTTGCAACAGTGATCGTTCTTTTTAGCTGTCTTTACTGGATATAAAGATTGCTATGGCGTAATCTGTCAGGAAGCACCTGTGTTATGGGGGTTTGATAGAAGCTGCCGTTACTTATGCCACAGATGATTTTCGCTGACTCAATACCCTGGAGTTAATATGCACACAGGTTGGAAAATGATTGCTGACCCTAATCCTATATAGGTGTTTTGGTTTGTGACATAGCCCCTTTAAGAAGAATCTTCTGATCTGCAATGGTTTATTGCTGGAAGTTGTTTGAACATTAAAACAATTTTGTTTTGGTTTTCCTTTTTGCAACCAGTAAGAGCCCAGTTTTTTCCTTCTGAAGAGCATGATAGAAGAATTAGTTTGCTACATGTGTTTGCTTTCTTCCAGTTGTTACTCATCCTAATGACTAATTAGAACAACAAATGTGAATATAGGACGTCTGTGGATAGCAGATATGAATTCTTTTTGAAATGCCACTTTATTGTTGTACGGTTTAAATAAAAACTTTGGAAACATCCAGAAGCCTATGAATGTGTTCTAGTTACTCATTAGTTTCATGAACTACTACAGTGACACCTACAGACCAATAAACTTCACAGTCTGATTTATTAGGCTATGTTCACACCATGTCCGGACCAGATCTGCAAACGCAGTGTATTTTGCTGCTTCCGATTCTTTCTGGTGCATTCTGTGCATTTTTTATGCGTTTTTGATAACTTGCAGTATTTTTTTTGGTCTGGAATGGAAAACACTGTAAAGGTGTGAACTGTAGCGCAGAAATCACATAGGGATACACTGGGATGTGTTTTTGGTCCAGGAGCTAACTTTTCTGGTCTGGACAGAATCTGGATGTCGTGTGAACAAGACCTTAGCGAATATAACTCACTCATTTTTAAGTTTTGTGAAGCATTTCCAAGTTTTCTTTGTATTTAACTATATTTTTGCTATAGATGAGGCATATTTGCACAGTTGTACATTTTCTTTTAAACTGGTAAGAATATGAGCTTGAGCGGGGTAGCATTTTTTTTTCTCTGCTTTGTTTGGTAACAATTCAAATGACCATTTCTCCATCCACTTCCGTATAGCAAATTAGTGACTGAGCTTTGTTTGCTTTGTGTTTGTGAATGTCTGGGTGTGTATAGTACAGGGTGACTGGTCCCCATTGTAGTCCTAAAGGTCTAGGCTGCCTCACCTCATTACAGCTTTTAGTGGGTGTATCCATACTGAAGGTCTCCTGGACTTGCCTCGCCCCATCAAGGAATTGGCAACTTTTGCAAATAGCTGCTAACCAGTCTGTCAGCATTGCTCTCAGCCACGGAGACCACCCGTAAATGTCCCCACATTTAACTGAGGTGCAGGGGAAAACATTGGACATGTGGCACCGTTTGGGCCATCGTAGAAAGCTCGGCTACCTGGCGGTGATGTCACAAGTAATACAAGATTATTATTAAATATAAAATTAAGATTTGACAGAAATTAAGATATGCATATCCACAGTGTTGTAGTGTTGGGACTGTACATAGGGAGAGGGAGCTATTACAGCTTCAGCGTTAAACAAGCATCCAGATCTATATAACTGATCATATTCCCTAAGCAAAACAATTGCACGCATATTTACGCAGTGCATGAATGTACATTTTTAACACTTTGAAACACATACTTGAGATGATCTAAGCTGCACATAGATATGTTGAGGATAAAATGTGCTCCAGTCATGTATTTCCAATCAGCTTATGTATACTTTCTATGTATCTTTTGCTGTTATTTCAGTACTTGGTTTTTATACATATTGACAGAGGAACTCTGTCCAGCATCTCAACCCTAACCCCTGCGGTGTTATTGTTCCTCTCAGCAGGAAGCCTTTCTTTCATGCTAAACAAGAGTGGTCATTCCATTGCTCCTTTATGTCTTGTAGCTCAGTGGTCAGTGTTTGAGAGCTGCGATGTTTTTGTCTCCACAGGACACACATGCAGGACCTACAAGAGGTCACACAGGATTTGCACTATGAAAACTTCCGCTCTGAGAGATTAAAACGTACTGGCAAGTAAGTGAACAGCTTTCTTTTTTTGTGTTTGAAGTTCATTGCCTGTCGCAGCTTTGTGTTAAATATATACATGTTGTTTTTTTTTTCCTTTTAGGCCTGTGGAAGAGGAAGTTCTAGACAAGGACATGATTCTACAGCAGAAGGAGGCTGAGGTGAGTAAATATAGAAAAGTACATCTGGAATCAAAATGGGAAATGCACAATTTGGGTTACACCCAAAGACACAATGAGGACAATTTATCAAAACTGCAGCAGACACAATCTGGAGCAGTTGCCCATGGTAACCAATCAGCATCTCTCTTCAGTTTGTTCAGCTTAGCTTTGAAAATGAAAGGTGGATGCTGATTGACTGCCATGCACAGCTGCTCCTGAGTTTGTCTGCTCCAGTTTTGATAAATTCCCCTCTATGTATCTGCTCCTGGCTGTTATTTTTTTATCCTGGCATTGAGTATGCCAGGCTAACCTGCTGTTAAATTACCTGCTCACTTAAGCTAAGTTACTGTTTGTCTGCAGATTTTCAGCCTGGTTCCTTCAACAAAAGTCGATTTGAATAACATTCTTTTTTCGAGGTGGCAATGCCACACACTAACAATTTCAGTTGATTCACAGGAATTAGCCAAAATTCCTAGAGTGTATGACCAGCCTTAGTGTGGGGTGAATCTGCAATCCAATAATACACTCTCCTGATTATTCAGAAATGATGTATGCTGACTGTATACTCTAGCTGCTGTCTACACAAACTATTGCATTCAGAGTAGAGCTGCAGCTAACGATTATTTTCAAAATCGATTAGTTAGCCGATTATTGAGTTCGATTAATCGGTCAATCGGATAAAACATAAAATAAAATACATTCTAAAAAATGGCTCCAGTGATGGGACTACTAGTTTGTATTGAGATTGTAGTCCATCACAGGAGTAAGCTTGGAGCGGTGGAAGTAAATAAGAAAAAAAAAAGTGTGGTGTGCAATTTAGTGAAATGAAAAGTGTAAAATTATATAGCAATGAATGCAGAATGGCTCCGGCTATGGAGGACTACAAATCCCAGCAATAGTACATTATACAGCACAACACAGAATACCACCAGCTACAGAGGAGTACAACAAATCCCAGCAATAATATATTATACAGCGAAATGCAGAATACCACCAGCTATATAGGAATACAAATGCCAGCAATACATTATAGCTGGCGGTATTCTGCATTGCGCTGTATAATGCACTATTGCTGGGTTTTGTAGTCCTCTATAGCTAGTGGTATTCTGCATTGCACCACTGTATAATGTACTATTGCTGGGATTTGTTGTACTCCTCTATAGCTGGTGGTATTCCACATTGCGCTGTATAATGTATTATTGCTGGGTTTTGTAGTCCTCTATACAGTGCAATGCAGAATACCACCAGCTATAGAGGGATACAACAAATCTCAGCAATAGTACATTATACATACTGTGTATAATGTACTATTGCTGGGATTTGTAGTCCTCTGTATAATATACAGCACAATGTACCATCAGCTATAGAGGAATACAAATCCCAGCAATACATTATAGAGCACCATGTGGGGGGGGAGTCCAGGCTTACCTGAGCAGTCTTCCAGCAACTTGCTTCTGAGATAGGGCCTGTCTATCAGCGATTGCCATCGCCCCACCTGCTCCTCCTTCTTCTCCCCGCGTCCCTGTGCCGATCGTGGATGTGGGAGGGCGGTGAGCGTGAGGAGGTGCGGCGTGTGGAGCGTGGATGCGGGCGGGTCTGGCAGCGGCGAGCGTGAGGTGGGGAGGAGGTACGGTGCGCAGCGTATGTGGAGCCGTGAACAGGGCCAACTACCCAGAAGCCGATTAATCGATGATTGAAAAAGTTGACAACTTTTTCAACAATCAATTAGTTGTTGCAGCCCTAATTCAGAGTTAAGTAGAAGAACATTGCACACCACAGAGTGATTGGAAAAAGACTGCAGTCTGCCATAGGTCTGCTGCAAATAGTTATTGTAAAATGATGAAAAATATGATTACAACAGATCTCCAGGCAGATGAATAAGCAATTGAAATACATATGTTAACTACTTTACCTGCCAAATGATTTGTCATTTTGCTCAGCTATTCTTGTAACTCGGGTATCCTTGTAAGATCATGTAGCCGGGTCAGTGACTTCACTTTTCAGTACTGCGGTTAAGCAATACATATTGGTCTAACTAGTCCCCAGCTTGCTGTTTGTATAAGGAAGGAGCAACAGTGCACTGATGAGGCCATAATTCTGATATCTCCTCCTAGAGCCTACATAGATTTAAAAGTACTCTTAATGATTTCAGTGAACACATAACTGGAAATAGTGTACTTTTATATCTCTTTGACCAGCGTTGTAGATTAAGCTAAATTCTCTTAACACAGTTATAGCATTTTCCATTAGCAGCTTAGTGGATGATTTTACATGTTACCTGGAGTTGCTTTTTAATCACATCTCTGATCTTGTTGCATTCAATCACCTCTGCTGATTATAATAGAATATGCAGTTGGCTGATCATTTTAGCTGCTTTGTAGAAAAACTAGAATGTATGTTTATTGTGTATTTATTCTGAGTCTTTTTTTGGAAAATTTACCCCAAAACAGGCAGCTCAGAAATCATTTATGTCAGTTATGGTGCAGTAAAGTGTTTTTGATCTTTAGGCAGATAGCTTGGTTGTAATGTTCAGTAAGCAAGTATCCATTCAGCCATATATGCATATAAAAACTATGTACATGGTAGCAAGGATCTTAAAACATTTTGTCAGATCACATGCACATGTGTATCATAAAAACAATGTAACATTATAGATTTCATCTCTGGTGATTAGTGTTGCCGTATTAGAAAAAAAACCATATATGACATGTGAAATAATACATCTTACATTCACTTTCATACACATTTTGTGGCATATGTATTTAAAAATGTAAGTGGAAAGTACAAGCAAACTGGGAATACACAGTTAAAATATATGTTTACTGTTTTACCTAGGGATGCACAGCTACAGTTTTTTTGGTATGGAGTACCGATATTTATCTTTCGAATACTGGTATTTCTGCTGGCATGGAGCTGGCTTCCTGGGCAGGAAGCTTCTTGATTCCCGGGAATCCGGGTCCATGCTGTTTGGCTGGCTCATTGCTGATTGGCCAGGAAGCCAGCTTCCCAGCCAATCAGCATTGATCCAGCTGTTTGGCCAGCTCGATGTTGATTGGCCCGGAAAGTCAATGTTGGCCAATCAGGAAGCCGGGTCATTACCTGCCACTTGGCTTCCTAATTGGCCAGGAAGCCGAATCCATGCTGTTTTGCTGGCTCAATGCTGATTTGGCTGGGAAGCCAAACAGCATGGGACTGGCTTCCCGGCCAATCGGGAAGCTGGGTGGCAAGTCATTACCCGCCGCCTGGCTTTCTGATTGGCCGGGAAGCTGGCTCCGTGTTTCCATGTGGCACTGCCTGTCAGAGGTAATCTCCCTGAAGTTCCTGTATTGGGGGTAATTATCGGAGCATTTGGGTGAGTACGAGTACTTGTCCAAATACTCTGTATCGGCATCAATACCATCCCTAGTTTTACCTGCAAATAGATTTCTAAATCTGTTTCATGGTTTCCGCACTGCACAATCAGACGGTTGACACAGGTTTATAATTAAGCAATTTTACCTTCCCATATAAACAATGCAGCTTCCTAGGTCACCTCTCTGCCTCCAACCTCATTGGACAGTGAGTCAGAATCATAACTTCTGTCCAGTGTGCAAGCAGCTGACCTAGGAAGCAGTTAAGCTGACCTAGCAAACCGTATTTCCAAAACAGGAATTAGCAGAGTGATCCTAGAGCTGGCCAGAACTATAAACCCTTTGGCATGTGAGGCCGTGAACATATCTGTTTTTGAACTGTGTAGAGATATAGACAGATCTGTTGCTAACCTTACAGCTCATTGAAGCAATGCTTCATTCCATCGGAAAATAGATTAAATTCAAAGCAATAATTTCATGTATACTTGCATGCATTTATTGTAATTTATTTTTTAATTATTATGTATTATTATTTTACTGTTGGGGGGGCTGCGGGGAAATATTAGGGGTCTAAACAGACCCCTGACATTTCCCTTTTGAAATAGAAAAAGACATTGAGGACACAGAGTCCTCACACAGAGTCCTCAATGCCTTTTTCTGCAGCCTCAGCACTCAGTGAATGGGAAGCACTCAGTACAGAGGCTTCCCATTCATTCACAAACTGCTGACAGTAAGATGTTTACTATCAGCAGTTTCTGAATGGGGAGGAGCCTCTGTAGTGAGTGCTTCTCCCGATTGAGAAATTCATGAATGAACAGGAAGTGATGTAAATCGCAGCCTGTTCATTCATAACTGGGGACACATAGTACTATGTGTCCCCAGTTATTTACAAACACTGGAGTGATCAGACGATCACTCCAGTGTTTGTGCTGCACACGGAGGATCGGTAAATATTAATGATACTTACCGATCTTCTGCTCGTCCATCCATTTTTTTTCGGATCCCCGCTGCCTCAGCCCATACAAGCGGGGAGAGCAGCGGGGATCCGGGCCCCCCCAGTGCCACCGGCCCCATAGCGGCCTCATCGGTCGCTATGGTGGTAGTTCCGCCACTGGTGTGCAGATTAGTATGAACGAGCCCGAACTGTTTTCTGTAATTAGTAACACATGTCTTCAGTCTTGTAATCAGTCAAATTGTTTAAGTAGAAAAGAGTTGTTGCTCTGCTGGTATTATCGTGTGCACCACACTGGGCATGGACCTGAGAAAGCAAAGGAGTCCAGCATGTTATTTTAGAGAAAATGTATCCATTTTCCTGGCTTCACATTTTAAATAATTTAATTTTTACTAACAACAATATAGTGTGTGTGTGTACACATACATATCCGTATGTGGTGGTGGCGGCATTAATGGTATGCACAATTTAGGCAAGCTCTCTCTACTTCACAAAGCAGTGCAGAGAGCAATGAATTCAAAGGACCTTCTGTGGAAGATTTTCACATAATAGGCAAGCTGAGGTTAAAGAACAAGACATCATTATTGTCTGTGGTTTCCCTGTGGCTAAACTTTTCCCCATTACTGACTTACTGTAGACTGTTCTGTGTCTCTTTCTCTCGTAGTTTGCTATCTTCATAGAGGAGCAGGGCCCCTTCT